TAACCTCATTAATCTGGGGGTTAATGGCTAACTGTAGAGGAAAATTTCCCGCTCATTCTCTCACTTTTCAAAAAATTCTGAATTATAGATATTGTTTACTTTGGATATACTATTAAATTTCAGTGTGGCTATATATTTTTATTATTTTTTCCTCCAGTAAAACAGTAATGCCTTTCTATTTTTGTTGATAATATTTTTTACTCAATTACTGACAATGTAATATAATTTTTCATTCAATTAATTTGTAAATAGAAATGTTTTCCAGTTACAGCTGCAGTTGAAAATGACAAATCAAAAATAACTGGCCCTAACATATGTTATATTATATACATTATGTATTTTAATTTTAAAATTATATATGTATATAAAATAATTTATATCATTTTACATTACTCCTTAATATTTAATTAGATGACCTTCACATGATCACCATAGACTGTCCTTTTCTAGCATTCAAAATGTCCTTCTTTTGGAGACATTTATTGAATGGCTCCTTAAAAATAAAATGCAATTTTCATCACTGTAATCGTGTGTTGGACATTAACAGTCTCCTGTATGTATAAATTATGTAAGTATACATGTACCTATGCATGTATACATTTATAAAACTGGTGTCCCAGTTTTATTCTTTTTCGATCTGAAGGTATCACCAAGATGGTGTTGACAAATAGTGCTTCTGATTTACATTTACATTAAGTATATTTAGTCAAAAAAATCTAATTTTTTTCTTGATCATCTCATTTTAACACAAACTGTTTACAGAGAATATTGAATTTAGTAAGACTACAGCTACAACAAAAAATTGTACTGAGTTTTTCACCGCTCTTCAGCAATGTCAGGAAAGTTCTATTTATTAGAATATTATTTATAAATACCATAACTAAAATCATGTTAAAATTTATCTATTTTAATAGAAATTTAGTTTTGGATAGGCAAGAAATTAATTACCTTAACTTTAAAATTTTTTCTCTTCAATATTGATTGGATCCAATATTGAAATGTGAAATCTCACGTGAAATTGTAATCCTCAGTATTGGAAGTGAGGCCTGGTGGGAGGTAACTGGATCACGGGAGTGGAGTTCCTGTAACTGATTTAGTAACATCCCCCTTGGTACTATATAGTGAGTGAGTTCACACAAAATCTGGTTATTTAAAAATGTGTAAAACTTGCCCCTTGTTCTCTCTTCCTCCCACTCTATCCGTGTAAGACGTGCCTGCTTCCCCTTCACTTTCAACCATGATTGAAAATTTTCTGCATCCCTTCCAGAAGCCATCATACTTCCTGTACAACTTGTGGAACTGTGAGCCAATTAAACCTCTTTTCTTTATAAATTACCCATTCTCACATATTTCTTTAGAATAGTGCAAGAATGGACTAGTATACTCTTCATGTCAATAATATTCAGCAGCCAATTTCTGGAAAAACACAACCAGCTGTAATTTTTTTTAAGGAATGTGACTTATGTTAATTTTATAATACTACCTAAATACCAAATGATAAAGGACGATTACTTTCCAGTACTTAAAATACTGATTGGTCTAAATGCCCTGATACTGGTTGGATTTACTACACTTGTTCTTTTCCAAACTTAGAGCTAATTTTCTCTCACACTTCGAAGAAATATACCTAAAAAGTTTGTCAAAATTAGGTAATAGCCCCGTGGCTTTGTATCGAATACAAATGCCCGTGACTTTGTGTATTTATGCTAAGACAGCATCTCACCACAGTCCGTTCCGTAGGTAGGGTTTTATTCCCTTTGGTGTTTTAATACTTATACACTGTTAATGTCTAAATTCACCAAACTTTTTGTCATCTATGTGCCCACTGAAGTACAAATTTTCAAGGGGAAGCCACAGATACTGACGTCCAAGTTTCTACCATCACTTGGGAGTCCCTGAGTTAGAATCCTCCCTCTAAACTGACCTTTAAGTGGTCATCTCAGTAAGGAAACTCACAGACACTCTGATATGCAACTTTTTTGTGGGTTTGTTGCTGTTGTTATAACCTTAACCTAGATTTCTGCAACAGTGCTGGGAAGAGTAGCTTCACGTTAGCTTTTTATAGAACATACATGGAGAGGTTTACGTGCGGGCTGACACTTCTTGTTGCATTTGACCAAATGCTTTATAAGAAGTCAAGGAATTTCTAGATGTAATTCAAGAGCACACCAATTGTTTATCCAGATGGGACAAAGTAGTTCATGAGATCTTTTCATATGACTAGGACTTGTCATATTGTGTCTGGAATTGGTGGGTTCTTGGTCTTACTGACTTCAAGAATGAAGCTACTGACCCTCGAGGTGAGAGTTAGTTCTTAAAGATAGTGTCCGGGAGTTTCTTCCTTCAGACGTTCAGATGTGTCTGGAACTTCTTCCTTCTGGTGGGTTCATGGTCTCCCTGACAGCAGTGAAGCTGCAGACCTTGGCGGTGAGTGTCACAGCTGTTAAAGGCAGTATGGACCCAAAAACTGAGCAGTAGCAAGATTTCTTCCAAAGAGCAAAAAAACCTATCTTCCACCACTCTACAAAAACATCTGACAAGCTCCCGCTGGCTGTCTCAGGCAGTCTGCTTTTATTCCCTTATCTGACCCCTCCCACATCCTGCTGATTGGTCCATTTTACAAAGAGCTAATTGGTCTATTTTATAGAGAGCGGATTGGTCCATTTTGACAGAGTGCTGATTGGTGTGTTTATAATCCTTGAGCTAGACACAGAGTGCTAGACAGGAAGTTCTCCAAGTCCCCACTAGGTTAGCTAGATACAGAGTACTGATTGGTGTATTTACAAACCCTGAGAGAGACACAGAGTGCTGACTGGTGCATTTAGAATCCTTGAACTAGACATAGAGTGCAAGAAGGAAAAGTTCTCCAAGTCTGCACTAGGTTAGCTAGATACAGAGTACTGATTGGTGTATTTACAAACCCTGAGCTAGGCACAGAGTGATGATTGGTGTGTTTAGGATCCCTTAGCTAGACATAAAAGTTCTCCAAGTCCCAACTAGACTCAGGAGCCCAGCTGGCTTCACCTAGTGGATTCTGCACCAGAGCTGTAGGGGGAGCACCAGCCACCCCCAGACACGCCTGCACTCCTCAGCCCTTGGACCCTTGATGGGACTGGGCACCATGGAGCAGGAGGCAGTACCCTTTGGGGAGGCAGGGGCTGCTCGGGAGCCAACCACTGGGGCAGCCTCGGACATCATGGGCTGCAGGTCCCGAGCCCTGCCCCGCAGGGAGGCAGCTGAGGCCTGGTGAGAACTCGAACACAGTGCCGGCCCGCTGGCACCCTCTGCAGCTGCTGACCCTGGTGCTAAGCCCCTCACTGCCCTGGGCCAGCTGTGCCAGCCAGCCGCTCCATGTGCGGGGCCGCTGAGCCCATGCCTGTGCCCACCAAAACTCACGCTGGCCCACGAGCATGGCACGCAGCCCTTGTTCCCGGGGGCCTCTCCCTCTACACCTCCCTGCAAGCAGAGGGAGGAGGCTCCCACCTCGGCCAGCCCAGATAGGGGTTCCCACAGTGCTGGAGCAGGCTGAAGGGCTCCTTAAGCGCTGCCAGAGTGGATGCTGAGGCCGAGGAGGTGCCAAGAGCCAGGGTTGCTAGCACGTTGTCACCTTTCAATATCTAGCAGTTTTACATATGTTCTATGAACATCTGTTGTTTTCCTAATGATTAATCTTAACAAGTATATTTTTAAAGGGTCTTTAATGGTGTTGAACAGGTGTCTTCCTGTTGTTTTATATATTCTACATCAAAAGGAGACTCAAGTGATTGAGAGAAACAGTGGAATCTGGAAAGAATGACACCTGAAACAAAGATGGTGGTGTAGAATTGAGAATCTAATAACCCATCTATCCTGCATGTGGTGGTTTTTTTCTCAGAATGAGGGAGAAGTTATAAAGCAAATATCTTTGTTTACAGTAACCTCATAAGTAATATAAAAACTGGCTTGACTCTTATTATAACTGTATCTAGGGTACCATGAACTTTGAGTGACTGAGTGCTGATGACAGACACATACTATATCTAACTATAGACACTTTTTGTACAATAAACAATGGGGCATGCGGCAAGGCACAGTGGCTCACTCCTGTAATCCCAGCACTTTGGGAGGCCAAGGCAGGCAGATAACTTGAGGTCAGGAGTTCGAGACCAGCATGGCCAACATGGTGAAACCCTGTATCTACTAAAAATACAAAAATTAGCTGTGTGTGGTGACGCACACCTGTAATCCCAGGTATTCAGAAGGCTGAGGCAGGAGCAGGAGGATTGCTTGAATCTGGGAGGCGGAAGTTGCAGTGAGTTGAGATTGTGCCATTGCACTCCAGCCTGGGTGACAGAGGGAGACTCTGTCTCAAAAAAAAAAAAAGAAAAAGAAATGATAGGGCATGCTTTAACCGTCAGTATACAGACCTATACATTCAATTTGTCCTATCCTGAGTGCAAATTTTCAATGCTTAATTAGCATAAATAATATACACTCCTTTGTTCTGCAATTTAAAATATCTTGACTTCTTTAGTAAACTACTCAGTGAATTTATTCAATGGCATATATTCCCTTGCCAAGCATGCTAATAAATGCAGCTCTGTAATTTTTTTAATTGCAAAAATAAGATAGATGGAAAGTACAACCATTTCTCTTCTGGAATTGAACAATTTCCCTACTAATATGTTAATATTTCTGGGTCCAGGGAAGGGTTGCCCTGTCCCCAGTGGTACACAACCTAACTTTAGACTTCTATGCATCCAGGTTTTTAAAAATTTTTTAATTACAGGAAAGGTAATTCACATATGTACATGTTTGTGGATAGTTGAGAAAAGAGGTGGTGAGGGAGAGCAAGAGTCGAATGAAGAATATAATTCGAAGACATTACATAAATAATTACATTATTTTACATTTTGTTTCTTGGTAGCAGCATTCTGTTTCTATTATAAAGTGTTTTAAAGTGACGGAGCCTCTCATTTTAAGATTCTTTCTTGCCTTTATATAAAAAACAAAGAGACCAATGATTTTCTGTGCTTATTTTAATATCTCATATTGACATTAAATTCATATTTTAATTAGGAAACATAATATTGTAAACTATGGTGTACAGTGTTTCAAAATTTAATTCATTTAAAAAAGATACCTTTTTACAAGTGGTAATGAAAATACATGTGACTAAAAGCAGACCACTGATAATTTTGGGTGGAAAAAACTTAAATTTATTAAGGAAAGAAATAAATTGAAGCAGGACATTGTTTTAATATGCATATAATTAATTGTAGAACTGTATATTGTGAAATTTAATTAAACACGTTCTAGCCATTTGGATTTTGAAATGCTTGGTAAAATACTAAGTTAAAGATGTGAGGAATCGATATTACCCTTCCAGCATTTTTGTTTCAGCTACATAATAGCTCTCTTAGTAGGTATGTAAGAAAGCTCCTGATATTTTTGCCTTGATCTAAAGGAAAATAAATGTTCTATAAAGGGTAAATCTATTAATTAGAGACCCACACAACTTTCTTTCTTGCTAGTGTAATCGTTAAATTGATTTTTCCAGTCCATCATGTAATTGCTCCAGCGATGGAATCCTGCTTTCCACTCCCATTCTGCTTCATCAATATTTCCTGTAAAACACAGAATAAGTTGTATTAATCTAAATTTTAATCTGTTTCATTAATTGAAAAACAATTTAGAATACAAAAGCCGTTTTCTCTAACTACACTGTACAGCATTATTTTCTTTTTTCACTTATTCTTTATTATTTATTATTAGCTCTCTCTGCCTGAAAAGAGATTTTAATAAAATCTTTACAGATTATGTGAAAATGCAAACAATATATATAATTTATGTAAAGTGTAACATATAAAATGGAAAATGAGTTTATATATTGTATTATGCATAATTACATTACATATATTTTCTTTAGTTTTCAAGAAGATATGTAGATATTATGCTCTTCTCTTGACCCGTTTTAAAATACCATAAATTTAATGGTCTAATTTACATATATAGTTATAAAACATAATTATTTCTGATGAAAATTATATATGAATACAGTCATCCTTAATATTTGTGGGGAGTTGGTTCTAGGACCTCTCAGGGATACCAAAATCCTCAGATACTCAAGTCCCTTATGTAAAATGGCATAACATTTTCATATAAGCTATGCACATCCCTAGATAATTTATACCTAGTATAATGAAAGTGCTATGTAAATGTTTATTATGTTATATTGTTTAGGGAATAATCACAAGAAAAAAATCTGTATATGTTTAGTATAGATGCATTTATTTATCAAATGTTTTTGACTCATGGTTAGGTAAATCCATGGATGTGTAATCCATAAATACAAAGGGCAGACTGTATTTATTAATGCATAAGGATAACTTTGTAATTGTCATTCCACATAGATTTTACCCTTATTATAATACATTATTTTATTATTATTTTTTGAGACAGAGTTTCACTCTTGCCACCCAGACTGGAGTGCAATGGCGCCATCTCAGCTCACTGCAACCTCTGCCTCCTGGGTTCAAGAGATTCTCCCTCCTCAGACTCCTGAGTGGCTGGATTACAGATGCATCACCACCATGCTTGGCTAATTTTTGTAGTTTTGGTGGAGATGGGGTTTCACCATGTTGGTTGGCCAGGCTGGTCTCGACCTCCTGACCCCAGGTGATCCGCCCGCCTCAGCCTCCCAAAGTGCTGGGAATACGGTCATGAGTCACCATCCCCGGTCAATACATTTTGGAAACAATGTTTAGTCATTGTTTCAGCCACTTACTGTGAAAGCAGTTTATTAATTGCGTTGTAAAATAGAAAGATGAGTAACATAATTTCTGTTTTCAAGTAGTTTGCAAAGTATATGCATGTGTTAGGAGAAAGGAGTGTGTAGGCAGGAATAGTGTGAGGTGGTGAACCACAAATGGTCTACATATTTCAAGAACTTTGAAATTCTGATTTATATGGAAGTGTATTGTTAAAAAATACAGATTATGAACAGTAAAAACTATTAAATTACCATGTTTTAAGACACATATTTCTGTTCCTGATATAAAGGCATAATAAGCATTATATATAACTGTGGTTTTCTTACTTTTAAAAATTTTAGAATGCTAAGCTACCAAAAAATTTTAAGTAATTTCATGTATACTGAAAGTAGGGACTGGCAACTCTTCTAATACATACTTTTCAGTTAGAAATCTTTGAAATTAATTAAACTTTGTAAGATATTACTTTGGAGGAGAAAATGTACTGACTCATTTTAAGCTAGTACAAAAATAAAAATACTTAAATATTTGTACAGACATTACAATATCCCTTGTAATTTAGGATATATTTAGGTTTGAAATGTTCATAATGCTTGGATATTGGAAAAATATTTGAAAGTTTACATAAAATGTTTCACTTTCATGTAAAATGGCTTTTAAAAAAGTCAATCACTATAATCCCTTTTTTTTGTGTGTGAATAATAGAACTTCTATAAAGGGTCAAAAAAGATTGCATGTGGAAGAAAGATGTTATATGTCACATCAAATCATCCACTTTTATGGTCTTTTAAAAAATAAATAAATGCTGTTTTCAATGTTACTTATATAAAATAAAAACTCTAAAGTCCAGAAAATCTTTTCTTGATAAATAAATTTTTGGTAATTTAAAATTTAGACCATGAATTGAATCGTTTTAGAAAGTGTCCTAGATCTGATTTTCTTTTCTTGTTCATGGAATAATACCAAATTCACTGATTTATATACATTTACATTTATTTCCTATGTGCCATAATCAAATGTCTATACAATTTAAATGCTTTTAAGTGCACGAATGCTCTATAAATCTAAATACTATTCTGCTTTAGAAATAGGGGGCATTGATTAAGACAATAAACTATGAAACATTTAATTATTTTCTAACAAAATCCGGAGAAAGCAAATATGCCATAAAAGTAAATACAATATTGAGTTTGAAATAAATCAAATTCAAAATTAAAAGTTTTCCTCTTTCATCTTCTTCTTTTTTAAGTCCTCCTCTCTTTCTTTTTTCTTCTTATTTCATATTGGCTTGTTTATTACTAAGACGACAAAATCTAGTCACAACTCAATTTTCATATTATTATCAACATCAGCAATATTCATGATTAAAAACCATCTAACTTAAATGGTTGGAACATCATAATAAAAAAGTGAGGGCTGGCACATTATAAACAGAGATTAAACTTGATTAGCAAATTTTAACTTATTTAAAATTTGAGGGAATAAAGACCTTTATGATCGACAATGTATTTGCTTTACAATTGATTAATTAAAACATAATTATATTGTAGAACGGTCATAATGCTCAAACAATGTAAGTTTCTTAGAATTGTAACCTCAACCATAATGCAGGCTTCTAACTCAATGTACTTATTGTAAAGGAATCAATATATGTTTTGTATGAATTCAGAGATATAAAGGAAGAATAACGCTGCCACCGATGTTTCTTTTCATGCCTCATGGTGTCTGAAAGTCCATAAATGTAATGATAATAGCAACGTTGATTGTCATTCTCTAAGTATAAATATTTTTTATAAGAAAGGGAAAAATAATCAAATTCTGAATGAGAGAAGAAAAAGAAATGTGTAGAGAGAAAAAGAAAGTGGAGGCTTGATACTAAATTCACAGGTCAAATATTGATGTGATGTTTTCTTTAAAGAAGATAAAAATTAATTTTAGAAATAAAGAACCCTAACTTGTAGAAAGAGTTTTTTTTATTATTTTCTCTTCTTTATAGTGGTAACGTTTTGTGTTTTGGATACTGTGAACAAAATGGAAAGATTACCATAATATATTACGGTTTTAATTATATTTTATCAAGAAAAATGATGAATCAATTGATTGACCTTTCCAGATTATTATGTAGAGAGTAAATGTAAAGTCATCTTTATGCATACTACAATGATCATACTATATAATAATATGTATAAAAAGTGTCTTAATTCATAATATCAACAATAGGTCACATAGTATTTATCCATTGACCTCAGCTGATGGCATTTAAATAATACATGTAAAATACAGTAATATAGAGGAGTGAAAATAAAAGAACAAGGGCAAATATATAGCAGAAATGTAAATAAAAGAAACAAACCAGAGTTGGCAACATGTATAGCAGGTATGGTAACAATCAAGGCCAAAAAATAAATGAGTAAATAAGTATATATTAATAGGATTTTAAATCTTCAATATTAATAAAGCTTACAACTCTCATAATTATTTTTCAGAGAAATATCTTCATGATTGTAGAATTTCATGCATCTTTATTATTTCTTAAATAAAAATAGAGCAGAAATAATTAAGGACATTGAGGACCTTATTCATATAACTATGTAGTAAGAATACAGTTGATTTAAAACATATGTAACCTTAGAGATAGATAGTTTACTTTTGTCAAAGAAAAACAATGTGTTAAAAATAATGTGTTGTTACATTAATTATCACCCCAATAGAACTTACTAAATTTGCATTTAATATATAAATATGTAAAATAGGAAACTGTATAATTTATTTTTTATAAAATAAATTTCATGTCAAGATGTCAAAAGATCAAATAGACATATCAGTTAAAAAGATTATCTAATACTTAAGACAGTTTGTGAATATTTATAACTTACACATATGTATAGAGATATTAAAAAACAAGTTTCTCCAAAGCAAATCTCTGTGTGCAAGGGCAAAACAAATTTGCAAGTACAAATGTTTAAAAGAAAAAGTAAAAAATATACACACAGTTGACCTTGAACAACAGGAGTGTGAACTGCACAAATCCACTTATATGTGGATTTTCTTCCACCTCTATCACTCCAGAGACAGCAAGACCAACACCTCCTTTCCCATCCTCCTCCTCCTCCTCAGCCTACTCAATGTGAAGATGACAAGTATGAAAACCTTTATGATGATCAACTTCCACTCCATTTCTCTATCTTATGATTTTCATTTTCTTTACAACAGTTTACTTTATTATAATAATATAGCATATAATACAAATATTATTCATAATATATGGTAATCAAATGTTTATGTTATTGGTAAGGTCCAGTCAAGTAGGCTTAATTAGTCAACTTAATCAGTAGTTAAATTTTTGGGGATTCGAGAGTTACAGGCATATTTTCAACTGTGCAAGGGTGGTGCCCCTAACCCCCAAGTTGTTTTCCAGAGTCAACTGTTTATGCAAACATAGATGATATTTCCAAATTTGCATTCAGAGGCAAATTTACTAGTAAATCCTTTTCACTAAAACAAGAAAAAGCAATTTTAGATTAATTTTTAAAGCATAAATAAAATAAATATAAGAGAAGTGAATATATTCCTGATGCGAATGAACCAGCAAACAAAAGAAGCTATTTGGAAGAACGACCCTACCTCAGAAATGAAATTATCATGTTGATGCCGTAATAGTCTTACATACTCTAAGAAGACAAAGGTAAAAAATAAAACTCATGAATATAGTAAAAGCTTATACATTTATGAATCAATAACCAGAACATGTCAGTTTCCCATTTAAAATTACTAAATGGCTTTACTTAGGATATAATTTAAATTCCTAAGCATGATACACAAGACACTTCATCTCTGGTTCCTGCTCATCCACT